GGGGCTTATGAAGATCGACTTCACTAAATATGGGAAGAAGAAAATTAATACCATTTGGTCCCAACCAGGGGTGAAAGAGGAACAGATTTGCAAGGCTTTGCACGACGCTTCGGAGCCGGGGAAAATTCACCATCTGTATGTAGGCAATGCAACCATTTGGGAAAAGATCAAGAAACTCTGGAGGGCAGAGAAAATAGGTGTCGACAGGTCATTTATTAAATGTAAATACTTGGTTGAAACGTTAATGGACAGGGAGCAGCAAAGGGAGGTAACACTGGCACATCACCAGGGCAAGACGAACCATCGGGGGGTACAGGAAACATTCCACGCACTACGCAGGAGATATTATTGGGATGGTATGCGGAAAACGATCTCGGAAGTCATTGGAATGTGCGAAGTGTGCGCGCGCACTAAGTATGACAGACGACCACCTCAAGGAGTACAAGAAGAAACCCCTACAGGAGATACGCCGTTGAAAGATGTGCAAATCGACACATTCACGTGGAGAGGCTTTAAATTGGTCACCATGATAGACCTCTTTAGCAAAATGGCAATGGCACATCGGGTACAGGATAGGTCGGCGGAGGCTGTCGTGGGGGCTCTCCAAACGTGGGTTCAGTTCGATGGAGTGCCAGATCGCATAACGTCGGACGGAGGCAGGGAGTTCGACATCAGTACCTTCCGAGAAGAAGCGAAGCGCTTGGATATAGTTTGGCACTTCAATACGCCGGGACATCCAAAGGGAAGGGTAGGTATCGAGAGGTTGCATAGCACCCTAAGTGATCACCTACGTATATATCAGGGGGAGCAGGGATTAGAAGCGGACGTAGCAATGCAGAGGGCGGTAGCGGCCTACAACCATTCAATCCACTCCGTTACAGGGTTTTCCCCAGTCGAGGTACTGTTCGGAATAAATATACGGCGTCGAGATTGGAAGGAAACAGTCACGAGCGAGGACCACGCTCAACAGATAACGTGTAACAGAGCGCAAATAAGGAAAGTGTGGGATAAAACGAAAGGGAGAATAGAGAAAGAGAAGCGGAAAAGGGTGGAAAAGGTTAATTTGAACCTCAGAGATAGAATGGGTGCATTAAAAATAGGGACGGTCGTCTATCGTAGGGTCGGATCCAATAGGGGGAAGGAATTGGCGCGCTACGAAGGACCATTCAAGGTAATCATACTTAGAGAGCACAACGTTTGTACGATCCAAAGTCTGAAGGATCCCAGAAAAAGGAGGACCGTTCACATAGAACAGTTAAAACTCCCGATAGAGACGGAGTCACTACAGTAGTGGGATATCCTCTTTTCTGTCTCCTACAAGCTAGGGACCGACGCTAAAAGGTTAATTTGATTTTGTTGTTCACTTTTGGCTGTAAGATAACAGTGTCTTTTAATTTTATTTTTATTGTTTTTTTATTTTATTATTACTCTGGCTGTTCTAGGAACTCCAACGGCGATTATATCTTTTCTTTTTGTTTGTTTGTAGTTGTTGTATTTTGGTTATGTATTACGTCAGTTACCCTGCATTAGTTTATGAGGAATGTTCATAAACTGGCGGGGGGGAGTTATGGTTAGAGGTAAGACAATATAACAGTTAATCCTAAGTTAATCCTATCTATGAAGTGTAAACAAAGTGTAATACTATATATATGGCATTACTAAGGCAATAAAGTCAGTATTCTTTGAGTAACCACGTGCTTCATTTCGGATCCTTTTTCCCTTTTTTTTATTATTTCTTGTTCGAACTGACGTAAGTTATATATATATATATATATATATATATATATATATATATATATATATATATATATATATATATATGCTTATTTTTTGATGATATATTATTGTTATTACTATTTTCAAAATAATGGCCTGGTGAGGTATTAATTTACCCGTAAACCTGTATGTTTTGTTCACTGGCAAGGTATTAATTTATCCGTAAACCAAAAGAATGCTTGTTGGAAAATATTAACAACAATATTATATTAGCAAACCTTCCCGGTGCACCAGCACCTATACATTTTTTGTTGATTTTAGCGCCGCATTAGATTTATCAGTAAGAAGAACCCTCTTTTATAAACTATATGCAATGAGAGTGACTACAAAATTTGTCGAAATCCTGAGCAAGATGTGTAACCGTACGGAAGCATCGGTCTGGGCTCCGGAAGGATTAACTGGGTCTTTCAAAAGACAATAGGGCTTAGACAGGGATATATTATATCGCCGTTATTGTCTTTATTATTAACAAATGATTTTCCAGGATTTCGAGGCGGGATTATTGAAGTCTGTTGTAATATATCTTATTTATGCGGATGATTTCTTAATTTCTGATGATTCATACCTGTACTACTACAAGGGAAATCATTGTTTCTTGGTTGACGCTTGTGCAAGAAGGTGATTTGTCTGATGATTAATACACATTACAAAATATGATAAATAGGTTAGAAAAGTACTGTCATATATGGAATCTGGAGGTCAATCTTAAAAAATAAAGATTCATAAAAAATGTGAGAAACTGTTCAGAAATGAAAAGTTGTGTTTCACAGATCCATTGTTCCATTACATCCCTAAACGAACTTTCCTCTGACCATAGTCCACTAATACTTAATATTTCCTAAAATCACAACAAACATTGCAAAACCTCACCGAATTTCTCAACACATTTGGCGAGATGACGGCTCTTGGGGAGCATCTAATAAAGACAATGCAAAGGAATTCGGTGGACACCTCTCCAATACATTTATTCCGCATCCGGAAATCCATCCCACTCAAACCGCAGCAGTAGAAGAATTCCTTACATCGCCTATTCCCCTCTTCCTACCCCCTAAGCAATTCATCCTTCCAAAGTGAAATTTAAATCACAAAAATTAATCTATCTCCTGTATATGATTACCTTACCCTTCGACAACTTTCTCCTAAAGCAGTATCCATTCCTCCTCTCATATTTTCTGAATTAGTTCTAACAGCTTGGCTCTGAGATATTCTGCCCCATCCTCCAACTATTGTCTATCCCTCACGCCTTTCTTCTTTTAAGGTACTTCGAGATCCAGAATGTTCGGTTTTTCAACCTCTAGCGGGGCGATATCCTCAGTGGGGTCCATGTCTTCTTTGATTATAGGGTGCCCTTGATTGAGGAGCTACTGGAAGATTCTTTTCTCTTGATGCCGTCAATTTGTCTTTCCCTACCATTTGTGTATTTCTCGCCTACCCTTTCTTTCCTTATATCTGCGAAGAATTTGCATATATTTTCAGTCTGCCAGTGCTCCACAATAGTTTCCAATATTTCTTTGAGGAAGTCATTATTGATTAAAACACAAGTACTTTTAAGTGACAGGATAAAAAATCACATAATTTTTTTACTCACTTTGAGGTGAATCTCAATTTTTGGCCTAATAAACCCCAACTTAATTATTATGAATTTAAAGCTTTTTAAACGTAAAAGTTTTTCTAAAAGTGGGGTGTCTATAGTATAATTAGATGAGGATAAAAAATAAGGCACGAATGAAGAATTATGATTTTTTTTAAAACAGTACTTACCTTAGTCTGGCCGCTCAAATGCTCTTTTTGGATGCTTTTGACAATGAAAAACTCCATTTTAATTTAAAGTAAATTTTGTCTAGTTTACAGTGAAGCAATTAATAATTAAGTTAATTAAATATTTCTTTAGTTATGGCTTCTTATGGAACAAAACACATGATTTACTCAAAAAACAACACAAATTTACTTTTCTGCCAAAAATTGGATCATTATTTCTATAAACTTTTTTGCAGTCCTAGTGGCCTGCTTTCACCTCTTTAAATATTCCCCTCTACTTATGGGGCACCCTGTATATGCTATGAATGTGGTCTTAACTCACCATAACTATTGTTTACGTGATAGAATGTTATATTACTCAATAAATAAAAAAAATGTTACCTCTTAAACAAGACAAGCCATCAAAATTTGCATCTAGCGCCACTGTTATATTCACTTCCATGGTCTGATAAAATCCCTACCTGTGATACAGCTTCCGTTAACTTCAACATTCTTGCAAAGGAATAGGGAGAAATTTTATCAATCGGCAATTGTGTATACCAATATGCATTCAATTTTCTTTCTTGTATAACTGGTATTTTTGACACTTGATCTTCTAACCACTCTCTATTTGAAAATTCTTTGTTTAGATATATTACAAACTGTGACATCGAAGGACAATACTAATAGTAATAAAGAGTAGCTCATTCACACTATGTACAATAAATAAAAAATAAAAGAAAAAAACCTGTACCACTGCAACCAATGGAGGGTTTTGGGTTCAGTACTATTTAGGGAAAATACTGTTTCAAGGCCAACGGTTGTGCAGGGAGGGAATCGTGCCAGGATCACGATCAAACGCCAGGTTTCCCTCCTTAATCAATTATTTAATTAAGGGTACCCACTTTTTAGAGACTGGGTGTGCCATAGGAGGGTATCTCTACTCCAGTGTCGCCCCACGGCCAATGAAACAGAATTAATAATTTTTCTGCCATGAGCCGGGATTCGAACCTGAGACCTTGAGAATTGGAAGCTTAGTACCCTACCACTAAGCTACCTCGCTTCCCAAATAAAAATAAATAAACAGCAAAATAATAATACTAAAAGTAAATGTATACAAACTAAAAGAAACTATACTAAAAACAAAGAAACTAAACTAATCAAAATGAATACTTAAATACATACATGATTTTATACAATATTTACAAAATTCTTTCACTCAAGATCTCTGAAACAAGCCTTTCCCCTCACTCGTCGAAGGAAAGGCAGGACTCTAGGAGATCTCAGCGCCTCTCCCTCAGCCGGATCATTGGTATTTACGACCAATGGAAGTTGTTCAGAGGCGCTATAATCAGACATACATGGCTACCACTCTCTAAATGCACATGCATTAAAATATTAATTGCTGTTTAAAATATTTATTGAATGTATGAATATAGACTAATAATAATAATATGTTTATCATTTTATTATTATTTTCTTTACAGATTGCTATTGCTGTTTTGTGTTCCCTCTCTGCAATATGGTCTTTTGTTAAAGCTTGGTCTAATACAAAGAGATCTGGTCAACGAGCAATAGACTTGGTTGCCGTTTTACACTTATGCATTATTTCTTGTGGCCACTTAGCAAATGTCTTCTTTCTTATCAGTGCCTGTGCCGCAATTCACAGCTTTGTTTATTACAAGTGGCAGATTGTTGCACATGTATTGCTTCCATCTGCTAGGCTCACATATCTTGTAAGAACCTACGTTATTGTGTCATTTCCCCTGAAAGTAAGTGATTTATTTATCATTTTTTGAAGTTTAAAATATTAGCCTTTTAATTTATTTGTGTATATAAGTATTTATATATCAATATATTTCGTTTGTATGTGGGTGAGATTAAGATTTTATTTTTTCTTACAAAGGTACAAACCCTGTTGATTATAAACATTACATTGTCAATATGCAAAAATACAAAATAAGTTCTAATTATTATACATTATATTGGAACTTTGAATTTTAGTGCAATTGAAGAAGAGAGGAATAGGGGAAGAGAGAGTAGGGGCGAGAGAGAAAAATTAATTTTTATTCACCTTGCCATACTGGTTCTTTTAGAAGGAACAGAAATAGCGATAATATTTCTGCTTGATAAGTACTACTGATTAATTGTGTCGAGATATTCTACTGAGTAGAGTTCTCCAATTTAGGGGTAAGATGACTAAGTGGGTGAAGGAACCTGAATAGAAGGATGACTTTAAGTGTCAGGCGGATGAGTACCCAAATCACTCTTGGTCTGCGGTGTAAGGGATCAACCTTAACTCTCCTCAGGGATGGTAATCACAAACGGACGGATCAATCTCCAGACTTTGTGGAAGGATGTAATACTAACGGATTATCATCCAGACTTGTATGGAGTGAGAGAAGAGGATAAAAGGTTTTTGGACATAGCGAAATAAGAAGGCAGATTGATGAGTACAAAAAGTGTATAAAATACATATACTGATCATCTACACCCCGAAGGGCGGAGACCCAAGGACCTCTGGCAACTTTGTAAAAGGACAGCGTTAATCATTCCGCCATGACTAAATCGGTTATTTACTAAAGCCGTTACAATTACAGTTATTTTTATGCTTATCAGAATTTGTTATCACCATTAAACTGTGTTAATAAAAAGTATTTACAATGTATATACAAATTTATATTTACAATTTGAGTATTTTATCATATAACAATAAGAAATTAATAATACATTTTTTGGTACATTGTACGAGCGAGCTTGTGTGGCGCTGCCAGGTAGCGGGCAGGTTAACTATTTGTCTCTTGTGGCAAGTGGCGAAAACCGCAACAAAGGTATTGGTACCTTTATGTCCGTTCGTTAAATAAATGAAAATAAATTTATTATTCTGTTACTAGTATCCCTTTAAAAAAAAACCTGTACCACTACAACCCATGAAGGGTCTGGGGTTCAGTACTATTTAGGGAAAGTACTGTTTCTAGGTCAACGGTTGTGCAAGGAGGTGATTTGACCGAGATCACGCTCAACCGTCAGGTTTTCCCCCTTAATTAATTATTTAATTAAGGGTACCCACTTTATAGAGGCTGGGTGTGCCCCAGGAGGGACTTCTGACCCAAGGTCGCCCCACGGCCAATGTAACAGATAAATAAATTTTCTGCCATGAGCCGGGGTTCGAACTCGGGACCTTTGCATTGGAAGCTCAGTGCCCTACCACTGAGCTACCCCGCTCCCTAGTATCCCTAGTATCTCCCTAGTATCTCCCTAGTATCCCTTTAAAACAATTTATAAATACAGAATATAAATAGTACTGTAATTTAGAGGCTTCTGGCACACTTTTGTGAGCAGCCAATCAGAATCCAGGATTTCAGTGACATCATATCGGCGGGAAATTTGAATTCAAACTACGGCACGTTGCCTTTTCGTACCTCTAACCATCCTTAACCACCACGTGGTCAATCACATGACCCATTGGCCACGTTCACTTTTACCTTATCCCTATCTTAACCACCTTGCCACGCCCATTTTTAGTCACTTGATCAGTCATGTGACCATTAGCCACAACGTCCACATTTCCCCCCACTCCTCTTTCGAATGTTCAGTATACCCGGCCGCCATCTTGTTTTTATGAACTTACGAGGTTATCTCCTTGTATGACGTCATGCGACCACGCCTCTTTTCGATCATGCGACTTCCACATTCCTCCCTCCACTCCTCTCTAAGAGGCGGAGTGTGCCCGGCCGCCATCTTGTTTTCAGGTACAAAATCGACACAATCCATATCTTGTCACTGTAGACACTGAGAGATATCTAGTAGCTAGTAGTATCCCAGAACATGCGCTCTCCACTTCTATTAACTAAAATGTCTACGTTAGGTACCTGTAAGCCGTCTAAAACTGAAATTGTTGCTTCCTTCCTTCTCTTGAAGCGAGATGCGGGTGTGGTGAAGATTCAATCCTGCCCGTAGCTACAGCACAATTATTAGTTGGCTTTAGTTAAAAACTATGGCAAAACTGCTGAAACCACTGATTATAAAACTAACTGAACATCTATCATACGCTTTGTACTGAGGTATAGACCGCACTGATTGTGAATGTATTTAACATTTAAATGTAAAGATATATAGAAGGATTGCAATTATTTAATTATACCACTAATTTTTGTATGCTAACAATATATTTGAAATCTTTATAAAACAAATCTACCTACATGACTTGTGATTAATTTCAGGAACTTATTATTTGTAGGTTGTGGAAATTTTATCTATGATATGGTATCACATAAATGTTGATATTTTCTTAATTGACTGGGAACAACCACGTATCCAAAAACAACAAACTTTTTCAGTAAGTGCATGGCGAACTTATTTTGTTTCTAATAAATGGAATGAAATACAATCTGAAAGGAGGACTAACTTAGTCTTACAATTGGGTTTTACTGTCTTGGTTTTGAAGGTAAGTTCTAATTATCTATACTATCAAATTTATTAAATCTTCAAGATTGTCCGGGAGATGGTTAGAAAAAAAATCAAATGGTTGTTAAATATGTATTAGCTGTTGATGTTTTTACCCCCTGTCTGGCTCACGGAGCTATTCCCACTGATGAAGATTTATCCTGGCCTATAATATTGGTTGCAACGTCGGTCTCTAATAAATATTTAACTATTATTTTAAGTTTTTTTTCTCTAACTGACCCCCAGACCATTTCCTTGAATCATTGCACACTTATTGCATTTTCATTGGTAAATATCAAGTTGTTTTTTTGTGTTTATGATGGTAGATGGAATTTTTAAAATAGCGTATGGTTTTCTTATCCAGCCATTGTAACTTTTTTTTTTTTTTATTAGTTGAAAGTTAATACATTCTGCCACATTGGAGGGCATTAATATTAGGGCTACATTAAACATTCACACAGTATGTACATACAAATGACAACTAAAATAGAGATAAAAGAAAAAGAGTTGTAGAAAGTAAAACAAGAAAATTAACAAAAAAAAAAAAAAAAAAAAGAATTTAGAGAGAAACTCAATGAAATTAAAATAGATAAAACACATTCACACCTATATACAATATTTACATTCGTCCAGGGGACTCTGAGTCATGCTTTGTTCTACAAATGTGGAAGCCAAGGCAGGACTTCAGGAGATTCCAGTGCTTCTCTCCCTGCCGCGTCACTGGTATTGCAAGCCAGTGAAGACTGATGGAGGGCACTAGAGCACAGACGCTCAGGACTTGAGTGGAGAATCTGGCCATTGCCAGTACTCCAATATATACATATTTACATAAGGTCGCGGGGCCACTGCCGTTTTAACCTCCGGGGAGGATTGTAGGGATGGCTGGAGCTAGATAGGGATTGTGCTACAGGCTTTAGATGATGAGTGATGTTCTGGTGAAATTTGGAAAATTTATCTGAAATTACGTTAATAACAAATGGGATATGAAGATCATTATGGAGCGTTTCATTGGTTACATAGAAGGGAGCATAGATTATTGTTCGGAGAACTTTAGACTGGAAGGATTGAATGCTTTTGATGTTAGAATGTTTTGTTGTCTCCTACAGCTCTAGTCCGTACGTATAGATAGGTTTCAGGATTTTATTGTAGATTAGTAGTTTGTTGTTGACTGAAAGTTGAGATTGTCTATTCATTTGTATAGATAGATTCACAGCTGTTCGTATTGTATGTTAAGTTGTTGTCTTTTAAGTCTGGTTTTGGGTTCCACGTTAGTCTTTTATCTAGAAGAAAGCCAAGTGTCTGAGAGAGGAAGTGGTATAGATTTGAAATAGATTGGTGGACAGGACTTGCGCTGAAGGGTAAAAGTGATCTGTTTGGATTTGGATTCATTTACTTGGATGTGCCATTATTACACGAGTGTTCAGTAAGAGAAAGGTGACTTTGTAGGTTTATGGATGCTGTTTTAGGATCTGGATTGGATGATAGGATGGCTGTGCCTTCAGCGAATGTTGCCAGGGAGTTTCGGAATGAGTAGGAATATCAGCGGTAAACAGAACTGTCGGGACCCAAGTCGCTGCATTGAGGAACTCCCGCCTCAATTGAATGGCAGTTGGAGAATTCTGTACAACACCGAACTAAAAAGGAGCGGTAAGAGTGGTAGGATCGGAGTATTAATTGTTACTTAAAAAAAAAACATGATTTTAGTTTTCTCAATTTAATATTTAAAATATGGATTAGGAAAAGATTAGAAAAAAAGACAACCAAATTAGGGTTAAATGAAAAATGATAATCATGAGCCAGAAAATGTTTATTTTATGATAATGTAATTTAATGTATATAGAGATGATGTATGATGTGAATAGATAAGAGTTAAATTAACTTTCTGAAAATAATGTGTATAGTGAATCGTGATAAAAATTAGTAGCGTGGGTGCGCCCTGTGTTTGGCTGTCGCTGAGTGTGGACCGACCAGTTAGAACAAAAGGAAGAGAGAGTTGGCGATAAGGACAAGTTGTAGTTCCAGATTCGTCGGATTTATTGAGTGATTGTGGAATACTGTGTTTTTTTTTATTCACGATTGGTAAAGAAACAAATTGTCCGAAAAGAGATGTGATAAAATAAAATCACTATTAACCAGAGGGTAATCGTGTGGTAGATGTAGTCTCCTCTGCATTGGAGCGCGGAATGTACTGCACGGGAGTCTTTCTCGACGTTGAACAGGCGTTTGATAGAGTCTGGCATCTGGGACTGATGTACAAACTCCGTGAACTCCTACCACCTACATACTTCCTCATTATCCGTTCCTACCTTACTGACAGATACTTCGAAGTCAATCATAACAATGCTTATTCATCTCTTTTTACTCAGTCTGCCGGTGTTCCTCAAGGTAGTATCCTAGGTCCTATCCTTTACACAGTTTATACAGCTGACATCCCAACCCAATCCAACACTGTCATCACCACCTATGCCGATGACACGTGTATCCTATCAGTTAATAACGATCCTTTAATTGCATCCCAAATTCTTCAATCACATATCACAAGCCTTGAAGAATGGTGTAAAAATTGGAGAATAAAAATGAATTCCAACAAATCCCATCAAATCACTTTTACCCTCCGTCGTAAACCTATGACCTCTTGTCCTACAGTATCCTTCAATAATACTCCACTTATTCCTGTTGAGCAAATCCGCTACTTAGGACTCCACCTTGACAAACGACTCACTTGGAACCCCCATACCAGACTGAAACGACTAGAAACCGCCCGACGTTTTCGACTACTGCAGCACTTACTAGACAAACGATCTAAGCTTTCAATCAATTATAAACGACTAGTATATATGACAATAATAAGACCTATTTGGACTTACGGAATTGAGCTTTGGGGCTCCACTAAACCATCGAATTCCTCTCGTATCCAATCCTTACAATCCAAAATCCTTCGTAAAATCCTCAACGCTCCTTACTTTGTCACAAATAAAATCATCCATAAAGACCTTAATGTTCCATATGTTTCCGATCTGGCCCAATCCAGATACCTTTCCTTCCATAACAAACTGCAGAACCATCCGAATCCTCTCGTTTCAAACCTTGCTTCCTCCTCGATCCCTGATAACCTCCGAGGCGTCTGAAAAGAAGATGGCCTCGGGATCTTCTAATATAGAACTTTAATTTGAGTTCTACCAATGGGTAGTTTCTCTTCATGTTGTACATGCCATGTTACAAATTTCTCATTTACTTATTGTATTCTCTATGTAATACAGTTGTAAATTCCATTAAAATAATAAAAAAAAAAAAAAAAAAAAACCAGAGGGTGTCAACCCGATTTGGAGTGGAGAGCAGCTTGACTTCAAGACTACCCTAAATCACCAGCGCTATATTATAGGGCAAAATTACCTAAATACCTGTATACACTGACAGGCGAAAAATTCCACCCACTTGATTTTTTCATGTTTTCATCTAAAAATATTTCTGCTTTGGATTGGTCTATTGTTTTTAACCAACAAATAGGTAATATTTTTGTTTGTTTTCAACTAGGGATGTTAATATAGAGGACAATAACCCTTAATCCTTAATTCAATGAAATGATTCTAGATTCCAATGTTTACTTTCTATGGAATCAAAATGTTTATTCAGTATCATTAGTTCAGCACATTTCTTAGTCTCCGGCTTTTAATTTTTTCAATATTAAGTTTAAAAATGCCTCTTAGTGCTGAGTATGTTGCGCGTGGTGTGGCACTTATTGATGATGGACGTTCCATTAGATATGCAGCTAATGCCATCGGAATTCCATATGAAACTTTACGAGACGCCGTCAGGCGTTTTCGGGAAACTGGTTCTTACAATAAAAGGCCCGGTTCTGGACGGCCTAGGGTAACAGAACCACGGGATGACCGGTTTTTGACTTTGAATTTTACGAAACCGGCACCTTACCGTTGTTCAAGCGATTCATCAGCTCGAAGAAGTTCGAGATGTGCAAATTTCTTAACGTACAGCTCGGAGAAGATTAAATGAGTATGGATTAATGGCTTTTCGTCCAGTAAGAGGACCAGAGTTGACCAGAACTCACAGAGTAACAAGGCTGGCTTTTGCTCGAGAACACAGCCATTGGACTATGGACGAATGGAGTGTTGTACTTTTTACAGATGAGTCAAGATTCGCTCTTCGATCTCCAGACGGAACTGAAACGAAGAAGAAGAAACGAATGATATGCAGCCTGTAATTTTTCCCAGAGCCAACCTTTCCAACGTGGTTCCTTAATGGTGTGGGCTGGGATTTCAATGGAGCGCCGCACAGAATTGTTTGTTGTTCGTGGAAGGTCTTTGACGGCCATTCGCTATGTAGATGAGATTTTGGAACCTCATGTGTTGCCTATCCTCAACGAAATCGGTGATCGTTCTATTCTAATGCACGATAATGCACGCCCACATAGTGCAGACGTTTCTTCAACAGAACAATATTGAGGTTTTAGTCTAGCCAGCACGTTCTCCAGATTTGAACCCCATTGAGCATTTATCGGATAACCTCGGAAGACGAATAAGAGCGCGTGCAACACTTCCTGATACACTGCAGGACCTTGAAAGGGCTATTCGGGAGGAATGGGCTATTCTCCAGCAAAGGGACATTTCCCGACTGGTGGAAAGTATGCCGAGGCGTCTTCAAGAAGTAGTGAAGGCAAGAGGATGAAACACGCGCTACTAAACGATGATGTAATTAATTTCTTTTAGAATAATAATGATTCGTTTTTCAATTTTTTTTTCTCTAATCTTTCTTACCCAATCACATTTTGATTATTAAAGGTAAAAAGGATTATAAAATTCCATAAATACTAAGTATTATCTACAAATACCATGTATTATATACAAATACAACTTTACAGAAATATTTTTAGAAGAAAACATGGAAAAATCAAGAGGGTGGAATTTTTCGCCTGTCAGTGTATATATATTAGTTTGCTTGACGGGCGCTCACTCCACATAGATTGCCAGCTACAAAATATTTCTTCTTTGAGAGGAAGACTATCTTGTGGCGTTAGAATGGCATTTCTCCGTCTTTGAAGGGTAAGCGCTTGCCGTTATTGAGTCCGTTATTATTGCAATGGTTTTGGAGGTTATTGACATGAAGAAGTGGAGGGCTGAGGCTATTGCATGGAGCTCAACTATATATACACTACATCATTTGTGAAGTTTTATTTTGTGGGTAGAATTATGAGTAACAAAATAAGCTGTACATTGGTCGGATTTGGACCTATCAGTTTTTTTAATCTTATTTATTGAAAAATATTACAATCTGTCACAAAGGACATTTATAATATTGTTCAGAGATCACATTCACACTCTATGTACAATAAATAAAATAAATTATACAGAAAAATAATATATATACAATAAATAAGAATAAAATAACCTAAAAACAAATAAATAAAAAGAATACATACATACCTATATACACTATTTATAATCTGGGGAGAGAACTCCGAGCCAGACTTTTCCCCCAACCGTGGAGGGAAAACCATGATTCCAGGAGTTTTCTTCGTTTGTGGGGTGCCCTTGATTAAGCAGCTGCTGGAAGTGTGTCTTCCAGATGCTTAGGATCTTTTCATTTGATGCCGTCAATTTGCATATATATATATATATATATATATATATATATAGTTAATGGTCATGAAAATGATAATCCATACTTAAAAAATTTATGCATAAATAAATAAGGATGTACTATATGAAAAAAAGAAAATAATATATAAGCTTGTTACGATTCGTATTATTTGTTTACTTATTTTTAACTTTTACTTAAAGGTATGGGGAATAGAAAACTGGGCATTATCAGTTCCTGAGCTTCATAGAATCACCACTCCTCCATTAGAAGGATATATAAAGTTCAATAAAATACATAGATTAGCAATAGGAATCCTGGTGTTTTGCATTATATACATGATTCAGGTAATAAATATATTACTTCTATAATGAATAACGTTCTCACTTCTGCTTAATATTGATTATTAATTTAAGTATTAATAACATGATAAATTTAATAATTATGTTTTCTTTTTTAACTTATTTGTTTAAAATATTACAATCTGTCTCAAAGGACATTTATAATAGTGTTCAGGGATCACATTTACACTCTATGTACAATAAAAAAATAAATTATACAGAAAAATAATATATTTTTGTCTGCAAAAATAGTAGACTGAGTCTGCAAAATATATCAATTTCTTTTAAAGTTAAAAACAATTTTTTAAATTATTCTAAAACTTCAGTCATTAATTCCCTGTAACGGTTCACTGTATAATAGAGGAAGGCTATTTGCGTGAGTACCTCTTCTTCTGATCCAGATAGTGTCACTCGAAACCAACTGGAAGCTAACCTAGAATCTTAATATCAGATTTAAACATATTTATTGAGAGATATCACACTCTGTCACAATTAAGGACATTTATAATAGTGTTCAGAGAGCACATTCAAACTCTATTCACAGTAAATAAAAATAAATAATACAGACAAATAATAATACTACAAGTAAATGTATATAATTAAAATAAACTAAACTAAACAAAAAGAAAATAAACTAATCAAAATAACTACCCAAATACACACATTATTCTATACAAGTATCTAAAACATTCATTTACACAAGATCTCCGAGCCAAGCCTTTCTCCCCACTCGTGGAAGGAAAGTCAGGACTCTAGGAGATGACAGCGTCTCTCACTCAGCCGCATTACCGGTATTAAGGACCAGTAGAGGCTGATCAGGCACTATAATCACAAATACATGGCTCGAGTGGAGAATCAATATGGCAATTGCCAAAACTCCAGGTCAAGCAATTTGAATCAGGTTGAATTATAGGATTTAATCACAAAAAGTTTCTGGGCCACTACCGCTTCAACCTTCGAGGATGATTGCTGGCCTGGGTGGTGCTGGATAGGGATTGTGCAAGGGGATTTAGATGATAGGTAAGATTCTGGTGCAATTTCTAGGATTTTTAGAAATAAAGTCTGGGACAATTGGGATATTAATGTCATGGTGTAAGATTTTATAGGTTACATAGAATGGAATATTAATTGTTCAAATTAAATCCTATTGTTCAAAGGACTTTAGATTGAATGCGTTTGATGTTAGGGAATTTCGCTGTCCCCCACAGTTCAAGTCCACATAGTTTTCAGGATTATCTTTCAGATAAGTAAATTGTTTTCAGTAGAAAGTTTAGAATTTCTATTTAGTAGTCTGGATAGTTGGCAGTATCGTCGGTTGAGTTCTTGCCTTTTAAGTCTAGTATGTAGGCTCCATGTTTGTCTTCGGTATAAAAGAAAGCACAGATACCAGTCAGTGTCCGATAACAGAATCTGGATGGAATTAAAGTGTACTGGTGGATAGGAATTGAGTCGGAGTGTAAAGGTAAAATGTTAGCATTTGGATTCATTCACTTTAATGCACCAGTTATTACACCAGTGCTCAATCAAGGAGAGGTGCCTTCGCAAATATGAGGATGCTATTTTGTGATCAGAGTTGGTTGATAAGAGTGCGGTGTCATCAGCGAATGTTGCAAGGACGTTATTGGGATTAATAGGAATGTCAGCAGAACACCGCTGGATAGATATTGGAAAATTCTGTACCACAGTGAACTTGAATGGAGCGGTTAGAGAGGTAAGATCGGAGGACTAGGTACAAGGACTGAAATAAATGGATTTTAAGCTTGAAGAGCAATCCGGAGTGCCATACCCGGTTAAAGTCCACAAATGCATACGAACAGTATTCCTTGTTTTCTAGGGCTGATGAAATATGATCAACAACTCGGAGTCCTTGTCGAATAGCAGAATGGTGAGAGCGGAAACCAAACTGATGGATAGGAAGATTTTGGGATTCTATAATGGGTAGAATTCGTTTCAAAAAAATCTTTTCAACGATTTTTGAAAGAATTGGGAGTAGGCTAATTGGTGTATAGGATGTCAAATTGTTGGGACGTTTGTTTGGTTTTGGAAAAAAGATTACAGTGGAATGTTTCTATAACAGCGGAAAGTGAGTGATAAGTAGGATGCGATTGTAGATATATATGAGGAATATAACAGCTCTGGATGGAAGTTGTCGAAGGATCTGGGGGGTAAGGAGATCATAGCCAGGATATTATCGAAAGGTTAGTTTTTGTAAATGAAATTTGACATTGGAAAGATAAACTGCTTTAGGTGGAAGGAAAATTGGAATGGGTGATGTTAGGAATTCCTCTACTATTTCGGTGTGGGTGGCATGGGATTCCAGGTGGGAAAAAATATATTAGAGAGGTGACTGACGAACTCCTCGGCTTTATCTTCTTCAGATGCTGCCCAGGAGCCGTCATCTCGACAAAGGGTTTGGGAATCTGGTGAGATTTTATTATATTCTTAGTAATTTTCCAAAGGACATTGTCACTAGAAGAGAGGGAGGATAGGTAGAAGTTGAAAGATTCGGATCTATAGGAGGCTAATTCTCGCTTCAATTTATTGCAATAGTAATTATAGAAACGGTGATCAGTGGGATGTCTGGTACATTGCCACAGTGATCTGGTGAGTCGTTTCATACGGATTAGGTCAAGGAGGTGTTGTGGTAAATTGATATTCTTGGGAATTCTTGGGGAGGAGACAGTCTAAGCAGCTTATTTAATTGAAGTAGTAAATGAATTTACAGCATACACAAGATCATCGGAAGTTTTCAGGGATATGTTGAGATCTATTTTGTCGGAGAGGATTTGGCGGAAAGTTTCCAATTAACAGAGTCTTTAATGAATGACGATGGAGAAGGTTTGGGGACGGGTTCTAGTGAAACATTGAGAATTAGTGGACTATGGTCAGAGGAAAGTTTGTTTAGGTGTGTAATGGAACAATGGAGGGGGCCTAAGCCGCTGTGAATGAAGAAATCAAGGATTTCAGGATTGCGGTTAGGGTCTTTGGGCCAGTAGGTAGGAGAGTTAGGAGAAAGGCGGTGAAAACGTTGGAATAGGCGATGTTAGGAATTCCTCTACTGTTTCGGTGTGGGTGGGATGGGATTCCTAACGTCAAATATTCCAATTTCCCTGTCTCCAAAAGCAGTTCATTCTTCCGATGTCAAATTTCTTTTAATAAAAACCAACTTTCGTATATCTTCTGAATATGATCCCCTTAATTTTACTGATACCCTTAGCTTTTTAGGTTTTATACAACTGATCTTGCTGTTAACAACGAACAGTAAAGGCTGAAGCGAACAACAAAATAATATGATATTATTATTTAGAAGATAAAAAGCGTCAATTCAACTGTTGGCTTGTTGTTAATTTAAAATAATGCTAATTTAAATATATATTACATCAACAATGTCAGCATGATTCTATCAGTTTAAAATTAAGAAGATAAAAACACTTTTAAATTAAAACTATTATAATTTTTATTCATAACTATATTTATTATTGTTAATTTATTGTTTTTTTAACTCTGTTTTTCATTCTAATTGTTGTTTTTTTTATAGTGTCTTTTTATTTATGGAGTGTATGAACATTACATTAAAAATCCAATTCAAGAATTTGTTGATATCTGCTCTCTTGCAAATATTAGTGTATTTATTTTATCTCTTGAAAATTTTGGATTCTACATCCATGGAAGGTTGGTTATATATTATTTTTATTTATTTTTAATATTTTACTAGTTTTCAGGTTTTCATTTTTTTATTTATTTTGCCTTATTATTTCATATAATTTTTTTTTATTATGATATCCTGGTTATATCTGGTTAGAATGTCACTGTCGTTTAAATATTATAGATATTTGATGGTAGCATACTCGCAGACTTTCGATTTTGATTTTGGGGAGAGGGTGATGGACTTAAAAAAGATGGCTGGAAATTTTACTATGACTAAAAATTCAACATAATTATTGTGAAAAAAACAACAAATATAATATTGAATAATTAAAAATCATTTATTTATGTTTGTATAGTTGGTTGTACGAATTTTTATTATTTTATGTTTTACTTATTATATAGATAGATAGATAGAAAAAAAAACTTTATTCTGGGACTAAGTCCCTTCAGAATAACAATAATGTACAAAATAATAGAATATTACTGGCCTGAACATTGAAACAATAAATAAAATTGATAAAATAAAATAAAAAGTAAAGAAAACCTTAGGTGCACAAGCTATATAAAAACAGATAAAACTATGTACAGAGCATTTAAAATTATGAACAAAACAATTAAAACTATGAACGAATCACTTGAACTATGAACAAAATTATATTTAAGGGTTGAACAACATAAACATACACTTTGAGAAATGAAGAACGAAAAAGAGATACAATGAGTTCATTTCATAAAAAAAAAAAAAAAACTTTACTTGAATATATATATAAAAATAAACAGTTACTTATAATTGAATAAAAAAAAAAATAAAAAAAAAATGTATGTATTGAAATTCCTTCGTCGATAGTAGGAAATGCATGTACTATCTCTTACCAAGTGTTATGATTATATGATTGCTACACAATACATATATAATATCAATAGTTAGCTGGTATCAGACTGTTTTTGGAACAGGAATTGGAATAGGAGGTTTTTGAATGTATACAGGGAAGGGGCATGTCGAATTTTGATCGGGAGGGAATTCCAAAAGTTGACAGAGCGGGCTATAAAGGAATTTTGGAATGAGGCAGATCTATGAGAAGGGATGTATAGGTCAGAGGGTCGGGATCTTGTAGTGAGTGAATGGATTGAGGACTTAAATTGGAGAAGGTTGTAGGCATAAGAAGGACGATGATCGGTAATGATTTGATAAAGGAAAGTGCCAAGGAAATATTGTCTTCTTAAGGAGGGGAAGAGCCACCCTAACTCAGTGTAGTGGTGGGAGACACGGGAGCGTCTCGGGATTCCAATTACAAATCTTACGAAGCAATTCATAAGTCTTTTGAGTCTATCACGCAGTTCCACCGAGAGGCCATCGTACACCACACAGCTGTAGTCAAACGCATGGTGACCAGCACTTGGGGGCACCTTCCCTTGGATGGTGGAAAAAATTAAAAAGGAAAAATTCATCCTCATAGACGAATTTCTAATGTAATATAAAAAAAAAAAAGAAAAAAAAAAAGAATATTATCGTGACAAGCACTAACAAATTCTGCAAGGGGGCGACCCTCCCCCTGGACGGTGGACAAAAAAGTTCCAAAAAGCAGCTATTCACAGAAAATATTGATGTAGTTTTTGGGCCCCCGTGAGATGCGAAGGCTTGTGCTCCTGTCGCAGCTTGTTCCTATTGACTCCGAGCTGAAATACATGATGGAGGAAAATTTATTTTAAAAAATATGAACTTCATTTATTCTTTCGAATAACCTTTTATTCGAGCGCAAGAAAATACAGTTTTTTTCTCGGACCCAGTTTTTATTCAGTTCCAATAGACCTGGAGGCTTTGCAACCTCAAGCAATTATAGTCTCCTTGAAGAATCCACACGATTCATAATACAGGTCACAATAATAATTTGTACGTTTCCCATTAGAAAGTGTTGTTCCTTTCTTAAAATAACTGCAGTTGGGAACGTTTTCATGAAGGAAAGTACTAATTATTTGGTCTCCGATTTGATCGGAATCTGATTATGATCGGAACCAGATATTATTTACTGAGTTTTTTTTTCTTAAAGTACTCATTCCGAAGCTGCAGGGCCATTTATTGTAATATTTCTCAGATTTTGACCATGCCGGTAAAAATTAGCGTTCATTGACCATGGTTATCGATCATATCACTTAATCAAATTATTAAGTTTAGGTACTTGTTCAACACAGAATTTGACGTTCTTTGATTTCTCAAAGAATAATTTTTTCGCTTTGAAGCACTGTTTAGTAATAACACATGAAAAAAAAGATCAGATGAATCTGGATTTTTTGGCTGCAAAAGTTTTCTCTTGGTGACCCGTGTCAGCAATTCAGTTTTTTACATGTCTAGACACATATGCAGAGGATCTCGTAAGTAGAGGGAAATATTAAAAGGAGTGATAGCCGAACTGAATAAATACAAAAAAGTTTATATAAACAATGGTTCGATTTTCAGCAGAAAAGTAAGGAATTAAAGTTTTGTTATTTTTTAAGTAAGCCACGGTTTTTGTTGTTGTTTTAATTTACGTGATTAACGATTGTTTCACTGTAAACTAGACAAAATTTACTTTAAATATAAATAGAGTTTGCTTTTGTTAAAACCATTTAAAGAGGACTTTTGAGCGGCTAAACTCAGGTAAGGAGTGGGGGAAGATGGGTACTGGTGGGGGAACGAATAGGGGTGGGGATCACCTGATACAGAGTTGCGACCCTCCCCCCCCATCCCTGAGAAAATTCCTGGAACCGCCACTATATATGAGCCTTTCTGTTGATAGAATGACTAACTCTAATTTCAACATTCGTTATTATTAATTTTATTGATGTTTCTTGTGGCAAAATATATACCTTTATTCGCAATTCTATATTTCAACACTGCAATCATCTATTCTGGAATAAACTTACTGTCTGTATATATGTAACTTTTCCAACTAGAAATATTGAAATTGGAGTTAGTCATTCTATTAACTATAAGGCTCAGATACTGAAGTTGTGTGATTTATAAAAGCAGAAGACTAGATTTTTATTGCCTACCGTCGATATAATAAATAGACCTTTTGTAATTTTAATGGTCTTAATGATTGTTACCTGTAAGCTTTCAGCTATAGCTCCGTTAAAATTGTACTTCAAAAATCTTATAATAGTACAACATTGCCAGAAAACAGTTTTTATTCAAAGTAGAGCGGTAAGTGAATTTTTTGTGTTGCGCGAACCAGATTTTTTTTTTTATAACTTGTTTCTTGAGAAATATTATGATCTGTCTCAATTAAGGACATTTTTAATAGTGTTCAAAGGGCACATTCACACTCTATGTACAGCAAATAAAAATAAATTAAACAGTAAAATAATTATTATAATGATAACTAAAACTAAATGTATACAAACAAAAACAAAACCAAACTAGTCAAAATAACAACTTAAATTCAAACATACTTGTACACAATATTTACAGATCTCATTCATTCAGGATAACTCAAAGCCAAGAGTCCCCCCCCCCTCCACTCATGGAAGAATAAACAGGACTGTAGGAGATTCCAGCATCTCTCACTCAGCCACAATATTAGTATTAAGAACGTAACTAGTAATCTATAAAAGTAAGAACTAGTATATCAGCAATTTGTTGTCAAATGAAAATTTAGATTTTCTGTTCAGTAGTCTACATAGCTGGCCAGATCGAAGGTTGAGTTCTTGTCTTTTTAGTCTAGTATCTGGGTTCCATATTAGTCTTCGGTTTAAGAGAAAGTCAAGATACCTGACCTTGTCTGAGTAAGGGAACTGGATGGAATTAAAGTGTACTGGTGTACAGGAATTGCGTCGGAGCGTAAAGGTAATATGTATGCATTTTGATTTATTTACTTCAATGCGTCTGTTTTGTGCAAAGCTATTGTGTCCGATTGCCGCGTTGGGCGAGTGATGGGAGCAGATCAGATAAGATCTGAAAGATAAGATTTAATCCGTACTAAAAGCAACAATTGCTCCGCAGACTGGAGGGCTCTCTCACTTAAGTATGATGTCTTTTCCAGCATAAAAGGGTAAGTCAATTTGCACAAATCATAACCTACCGCTTCATCAAAATACAGACCACTGCATAAATAAGTCGAATGTTGCCTATTTTGAACTCATTTGAGTTGTCTGCCTTGATTAAATTAAAATTGGAAAGTAGAGTAAACATTTTAGTCCACCGGACACGATTATATTTTTTTTTTGTTGCCATATTAGCGATATTTTGCAGTATGTAAAGGAGGAATATTGGTAGGTTATAAAAGTTTTTGTAAAGATCGTCTATTTCCGGGCTGATATTCGCATGTTGCCTATTAATTCGTTTTTTATAATTTATTTTATGTCGTTTCTTGCTTTGTTGCGTATTTGGGGGTGCCCGTGTAATAAAAATTGATTTTATTTTGTAGAAATCGTATATTTCCGGGCTAATATTCGTATATCGTCTATTAATTCGTTTTTTTTAATATATCTTATGTCGTATATCTAATATAACGTATATCTGAAATAATCCTGGAGAAGTTAAAGTTATACCAAATAACGAAAAAAATATATATCATTCACACTACATGTTGGTAAAATAAAATTGAGATTCATAGATTCTTCAGTATCTCATGGTCCAGTCTCTCATTTTGGACCTCTTCTTTCAATTTGGGTTTATAAATGCGTTACATGCCACAAAAATAATGTGAAGCCACAGGCTCTGAAAATGAGTGACTTACCGTCTTTCAGGGTGACCAAGGGTCAATCATTTCAGCAAGTTGGAATAGACTATGGCGGCCCCTTCGTTATGAAGATTTTCAGTAAGCGCAATGCTCCTAAGTCGAAATGTTGGTTAACTTTCTTTGTATGCGTGTCTACCAAGGACATCAATCAAGAACTTGTGACGGCCCTATCCACTCCTTTATTAATTGCCACATTAGACAGATTTATTGCAAGGCGTGGTTTGCCTTTGCATGTTTATAGTGATTATGGAACAAATTTCGTTGGAGCATCCAAGAAGTAGAAGGAGCTTTATCAATTTGTTAAGA